GGTGCGGCTGCGGCGCGATGCGGGCGGCCGCGGCGGCGTCTACGAGCACCTCGGCGGGGCGCCCCGGCGCCGCAAGCTCTACTGCGCCACCAAGTACCACCTCCAGCTGCACCCGAACGGCCGCGTCAACGGCAGCCTGGAGAACAGCGCCTACAGTGAGTGTCCGGCCCGGCGGCGCCCCTGGAGGTCCCCGGGGAGGAGCGGTGCCCCGGGAGAAGGCACGGAGCGCGAAGGGTGTCCGGGAAAGCGGACCACCCCCTGCTGCCAGAGGGACACCGCTGGGGTCCCCTCTTCTCCCCCCCACGTCCAGGAGAAGAGCACGAGCGGAGCTGGTGGTGGGGGGAAGCTGACGTCCGAAGTGGGTGCGGGTGGCCAATGTCCGTTGTCGGGGCGAGCTGGTCCGGTCTCCCCTCCAACCCACCCGCTCGTCGGAGGGGGCGCGCAGCAGGCGGTCCCGGGGCTCTCAGGTCGGCTGGGCTCAGTGGCCCTGACAAGTTTGAGCCCTTTGAGTTTTTCGGAGAAAAGGCCCTGGACAGGCATTTACCATCATCTTTATTATTTGGAGGGTTTCGCCTCCTTCTGCCCACCCCGGGGAGCCCCGCCGTCCCCTCCGCCCTTGGCGCTCTCAGCCGCCCAGGTGGCCGCCCCGCGCCGCTGCCTCTGCGCGGAGGACACTCGCCCTGAAGAGCGGGGTTCCCGGGCCGCGGCCGCCACCGATAGTCATTTGCCCGGGCCGGAATCCGCAGCCCTCCCTCCTTCCCCTTGGCAGCAGAGCGACAGGCAGGGTAGACACCCCCGCTGCTGCGTGGGGGGCCGCCAGATACGGGCTAGGAGCACGGAGGGGCGTCCCCCTGGGCCTGGGGGAGCAGAGACACCCCCACCCTGCCCCGCAGCCAGGACCCGCGGCTGGACTGCGCTCGAGCCAGAGTCCCGTGAGGCTCCAGCGTTCGGCTCGTCCGGTCGCGGGGCCCGTGGCCAGGGCTGAACCCTCCCGCGAGGAGGGCAAAGCCAGGAGGACGAAGCAACTCTGCTCGGAGAGGAGCAGGGGAGCCGAACTCAGGGCCCAGCAGGACCGCAGTGGGGAGCGTGGGAGTGTGGCCAGGGACTCGCGGGTCCTCCGCTGCCAGGCGGCGCTCGGTCTCCGCCCCGGGCGCAGGAAGAGGTGCGGTGGATTCAAGGCGGCGGCGGGAAACCGCTGCTTCCTCGAGGAAAGCCGCAGCTCCGCGAGGGCGTCTTCGGAGGACGCCTCTAGAGCTGCGCAATGGGGACCAGCTGTCGCCAGGGCGTCCCCGCGCGCAGGATGCGGCCACGGGAGTGCCCGAGCTCTCCTCGCAGCGACACCCCGGTTTTCTCCAAATCCAGTCTCCCCCTCGGAGTTGCAGAGCGTCCAAATTCTTGGGGCATCCAAGGCGGGCAGCCTGGAGGCAGAGGAGGGCGCGCGCCTGCAGCCGCCCCCGTCCCGCATCCAGACGCGCGCTTTTCTGGTCTCCGGGCCGGCGCCGCGGAATCCTTTCAGCCTACGACTTGGGGAAGCGAGAGGCCCGCAGCCTGCACCCCCGCGTGCCTCCAGTGGCCCCGCGTCTGGCCCTGTGGTCGCCGGAGGCCAGGCGCGCACCCAGAAAAGCGCCCCCTCCGGCCGACCCCCCAGCGCCCCTCAGAGCCCTTCTCCGGGGACAATGGCCCCACCTGGGCCTTTGTTGCAGGGCCACTGAGAAAAAGCGCTCTGGTGTCCAGAAGGAAAGTGTTAGGGTGGATTTAAACTTTCTTACATACAGCGTGGAGTGGGAGAGCCGGGACCAGCTTCCCTTTGTGAGCTCCGGGTCTAAGGCAGCTTCCTGCGGATACCCTGTATCCCAGGGCTCCCCTTGGACACTCATCTCCCTCCCAGGTTCAGTGCCAGCACGTTTGGGTGGCACTGGTCAGTGCACTGCGTGGATTATATTATCAACCCATTTCATCAGGGGCGGGAACCTTCCCCCTCCCAGGACTCCGCAGGCCCTCTAGGACAGGCAGCACAGGTGGAGAGGTCAGACCCGTGTCTGCAGCCGGGGTTTGAATTCCAGCTCAAACACGTGTGTGCCGTCTTGGGCAAGTCACTGAACCTCAGCAGTCTCGTGAAACTAGCTGGCAGGGCTGTCAAGAGGCTCAAAAACCTCTGTGTCCTGCAGGACCACTGTGTTTGGCAGAGTCAGCGACCACAAGTGTTAGTTTTATTATCCCCCCAGGTTTGAGTTCTTCTTGGAGAAGCCTTCCCTGATGCTCCTCCGTCTTCACCTGCCACACAGTAATTTCTCCTTCCCCTGAACTTCCAGAGTCACCCTCCCTTGGGTGCGTGTTGTTCCCACCACCCCTACCCGCTCCCGGAGCCTGGGCATGGCTTAACTCCGGGCTCTGTGGGAGGCTCTGTGGGAGTGATGAGCCTTCCCGCCTCTTCCCAGGTATCCTGGAGATAACGGCAGTGGAGGTGGGCATTGTGGCCATCAAGGGGCTCTTCTCCGGGCGATACCTGGCCATGAACAAGAGGGGACGGCTCTACGCTTCGGTGAGTCCAATCTCGGGAGGGCAGCCATCTCCCTTAAACACATCGGGGGACAGAGGAGACATGGGCAGGATAATGCTTTGCCCGGGGACGAGCAGCACCTGAGCTGGGGCCAGAACCCCAGGCCCTGTGACTCCATGCCCAGTGCTCTTTCAGCTGCTTCTGTCAGAGGCGGCTACCAGCTTGAGGGACTTGGGGAGGATCATTCTGGGGGTCAGACACGTCTTATGTCCTCCGGTGCTGCCGGGTTAGAAAAATGTTCCTCCAACATTTTGTGGTCACCAGTATTGCGCTTCCCTCAAGGTAGCTGAGAGCAGGTGAGAGATGGTGCCTCACATTTCCACTGAAAGAAATGGACCCAGGCGAGCCTTGGGGCAAAGCGAGGGGTGCACTGGACACAAGCTCTTCTGTCGGCTCACCCAGAGCTCTCCCGGGAGCGGGGAGAGGGGGAGCAAGGCGTGGCACAGCCGCTTCTCCCCGCGAGTGGAAAGGCAAGAGCCGTTAGCGCTTAGGAGCGAATAGAGAGGGAGGTGGCACCCACGTCCCAGGCACACAGGCTGGAACCCAGTCTATCTACCTCCTGGGCTCCGGCAACCAAAAGGGTCCCGTGGCCCTGTGGGCATTGGCAGTGCCGCCCCCAAGGGCGGGGGCGGGAAAGACACGGAGTAAAGTACATGTAACTAGGAAATTTGCTACCTCCAACTAGTCATTACATGCAATTCGCCTGATACCTCCTTGGGCAATGAGAGGTTTTCCATCCACATGTAACCTAGACGACGCAGCCCGAGGACCATCTCCCCTCAGTTACGTCTCTCTGTTCAGTGGTGGTTGCAGGGGAAACACACCATTTCCCTGCCCCCTCTGAAGTCAGGCAAAGAGTGATGAAGAGAATTTGCTGGAAAACCCTCCTTTAAGCTGGTTATTTCATCACAGATTTTCACTGTTTTGCTAAAGGAAATGCACAGGCTGGAATGCCCCTGTGTGTTTACTCTGACCACGCCATAGAAGCTGTTCTGGGAGGAGGGACCCTCTGCCCAGCCTCTTTTGTATGTGCTTCCAGAATCTCCAGACACTAATTGTGGTTTATCTGTGGGACATGCCCCTAGCCTAGGGTCTGGTCTGAGTTTTCCGGAGGTGGACTGTGGCCTTCCAGACTCCTCGGGCCCTGTACCCCTGGCGCTGAGTGAGCGGAACTGACTTTCTGTTATCGAAACGGGGTCAGACCACCCACAGTCGCTGCTACCCCTTATGGAGAGGTGACGCCCAGGGAGGGGGTCTCGTTGGCCTGCAGTGATGGCCCAAGGTCTTCCTGACCGCAGAGGGCCTTCTACCCACACCAGGAAGTTCGCAGAGTCGGGCAGGGAGGGCTGAATCGGAAGGGAAGCCTAAGGCTTCTCCATCTCTTCCATGGGGGACCGAGACCCAGAGCTTTGAGGGACAGAACAAAGTATGACCTGAGGGAGCCCAGGGGGTCAGAGTTCCCTGTGACAGCACTGGCTTTGGGGAAGGAGGAGGAGAGGTTCCTGGCCCCACAGGGGGACAGCCAGGAGGTCTAGCTGGACCATGTGGAACTTTCCAGGAAAGTCTCCCTGCCCTGCAGGTAGCCTGGGAGGTGAGGCAACCTGGTGCCACCCCTGTCACCTCCACCCCGTGCCCCCATCCTGGGCACCACCGACTCACCTGTAAGCGCTGTTCCCACGGCCCTGCCTCTTGGTTGTCTGGGCTCCCTGGTCTCTGCCGTCAGCCTGCTTCTCACCACCCAGGCCAGCCGTCGCCTTCTGTGGCTCAGTGGCCACTGCATCCTGGCAGCTCCCACGTCCAGCCCTACCTCCCTTCTCGGTAGTAGATCACCCCCCAAAAGTCTTCATGGCTCAAAGAGCCCTGGCAGAGGGCAGCACACCCCAACTGAACTCAGCGGCTCCCCTAACTCCCTCGCGATAAGTATTGCCCCACCAGCTGCTCACTCAAGCCCAAGGTCAGCTGGGAGTCATGGCGGACACCTTCTCTCTAGGCCCCACAGTCAGACCATCTCCAAGTCCTTGACCGGACCTCTTGAATCTCTCTCTTCAATCCATAACCCTTGCCCCCCTGCCTCACCCCCACTGCTGGAGCTCTTATGACTCACGCCTCCATTACCTGCCACCTGGACCATTAAAACAGCCTTGGGACCGGACTACTGGCCTCCAGCCTCTCCCTCCTTCTGTCCATCCATCCATCCATCCATCCATCCAACCATCCATCCATTCATCCATTCACCTTTCCTTCTTCCTTCCTTCCATTCATCTACCCACTCACCTTCCCTCCTTCCCTTCCCCATCTATCCATCCATCCATCCATCCATCAACATCCATCCATCCATCCATCCATCCATCCACTATTTCATTCATCCATTCACCTTTCCTTCCCTCCCTCCCTCCCTCCTTTGTCCCTCCCTCCCTCCTTCCCTCC